AATATCGGGTTCCCGGCGATAATTACGTGAATTATTTGTACGAGGATCATCTGGAGCAAGAGGCGTTACGAAAGGCGAAGCAGGAAGAAGAAGAAAAGCAGGCGATTTCAGGGAAAAAGGGCAGACGAGAACGAAGGCAGTTTCGAGAGCGGAAAATGATTTCCATTCACAGGAAACTCAGTCCACCGAGGTCAGTTTCGAATTGTGAATGTCATCATGTGAGATGTTTTGCAATTGTATCGTTCAAATCTTCTTTCAAAGATGAATGCGACCAATTCTCAAACGAGTGAGAAGCAAAATTTACTCGATCAAATTTTATGTGAACTTTTAGAATACTTTTCTTCATCCAATCGGAAGCCCATCATAAGATTTCTGTTTTTGAAATATTTTTGCTGAGTTTGGCATCCATCAGGATGGGAAGATATTCTGAACTTGTTCAGGTTTGAGGCAATTCTATTCTATCAAAATATTCTATGCTTCATTCTATCAAAAGAATTTTCAATAATCCAATATTTTCAAGCTGTTTAATTTTTAAAGCAAAAAAGGCAATATTTCACTAAAACGACGCTGTAATTCCTGAATATCTTAAAGATTGCGAATTTACGCATTTATCGCAAAATTTCGAGAGATTCTCTCTGTTGCGACTGATCATCGTCACGATTTTTGCTAGAATTTTAATTTTCTGCGGGGAAAAAAAAAATTTAATTAGTCCTGATCATTGAAAATATTTTGGTCCTTCGGTCAGCTTTTAACGATAGCTAAAACCTTGAAAATTTAAGAGTTTGTATGCCTTGCACATGTAAAATATATTGTTTTCCTCTCAAGTGATGAAAAGGTGATGGCGATTCTATGAATACATAGCGAGTAAAAGCTAACTTTCTTCTTCCAGTTATGCCGCAAAAAACATTCCCTCAGCCAGCGACCCGTTCAAAAAATCCCGCGTGCTGAGTCGTTCGAAGTCCAGGTCCCCAACTCGTTCTCCATCTCCAAAGATGACCAAAGTAACCTACATCACGTCCTTCGGCGGCGACTCCGACGAAGAAGACGCCGGCGCCGCTGGTGAAAAGGACTCCGGTCCGCGCGGCATTTTCATTCCGATCACGGCTCGCCGCCACGATGACACCGACGGCAAGAAATCCGCCTCGCACGGGGCACCAAGCATCTCTAAAGGATTAACTTTAGGCGCCGCGGCGTACGAAGTGGCGGCGAAGAAGGAGCGGGAGTCGCGGAGGAGACGGAGTCGGAGGAGCTCAAGCGAAGATAGCCGGGGAAGAAGAAAAAGAAGAAACAGCGTTAGATCGGATTCTTCGGGGTCGAGGAGAAGGAGGCGAAGGCGGCGCTCGAATAGTCGGAGCAGGAGCAGAAGTAGGAGTAGGAATAGACGAAGGAGCAGTAAGGATAGGCGGGATAAGAGAAGTAGGCGGTCGAGGAGTGATTCTTCTAGAAGTTCATCCCGTTCGAAGTCCTCTCGTAGGAAGAAGGGCGGCATCAGAGCTGAATCAAAACCGAAGTAAGTTTGTTTCTCTTCGTATTTATTATCATAAGGCGGCCGTCTCCGCAGCCGCCGTCTACATCTGCGAGAAGTCCGCGTGGGTCTGGGCCATCGAATGCGTCTTCCAAAGTCAGTAAGAAATGGTTGGCGAGGTGGGAGGACCTGGAAATGGTGGCCGTCGGGAATGACGATAGCAACCTTTCTTCCTGTAGTCTTTTTTTCCTGTCTGTTGTCTCCTTTCATAATGCCACTTTTTTTGGGGCATCGCGAGGGGGCAGAAAATGAGGGTTTAGGAGGGAAAGTTGGGTAATTTTGTTGCCGTGTCGTTTGATTTTTCGGCGGTGTTTCTCACAGGCTTCATCAGGTCTTGGAACCAGTCAGAAAAGCCTTCGTCCTCATGAGAGGCTGAAAAGAAAGATGCAGGTGTTGATTAATCGACAATGTGAGTTGTTTTATTTGTTTATTCGTCGAAATAAATTTTTTTTAAACAATATTAAGGCTTTATTAAAAGTCTTGCGAATCACGTGCGTGAGTTTTTATTTCATCAACTCGCCGTTGATTTTATCATAAGTACGTAGTAGCAGAGAAGATCATTTGAAGCCCATAGAAATACTGAAAAACGGAAGTTTAAAACTTGGAAAAAATTTCTGATGCTCCTCAAAGAACTTGCATATTTGATCTCACATTCACTTGAATTTGTTTGTAAATTGGTCGTAAATATTTTACTGATGAACCAAAAATATTTAAAAATGTGTCAAGAGGTTTCAACTGCCAAAAATAAATTTTTTTGTGATTCGCGGGTTTTTTGAGAAACATCTCGAATCCAGCAGTTTTCGAAATTCTCATCCTATCATTCTTTCTTTCATATTTAGATAAAGCTGATAAGAAGGCGGAGATTGAACGAAGAGAAAAGAAGCTGCAAGAGCAGATGGATAGGGAAGATCAAATGCGGGAAATGGCGATAAAATACAGACGGAAGTGAGTTTTTGTCGAAGAAAATTTTCACTCCTCAAAAAAGAATGTATTCATATGTGTTCATGTTGTATTTACCAGAGAACGGGAGCGTCGCATGCGTGAGCGAGAAGAATTAGGTTTGCCGCCGTTGTCGAGTGACGAAGACGGGGATAATTGGGACGACGACGACGACCGCGGATCCCCGCGATCCGACAGAAAATCATCTAGGCATCGGCGATCCCAAGGCAGAAGATCTAGATCCTCATCCGAATCAACTTCCTCTCGATCAACTCGTTCAGGTTCTTCATTTGGCTCGCGACGGCATAGGCGTGATGGACGCAGATCCAGGAGGAGTAGAAGTATTGATGGCGGTGGGCGGCGGCGGAGAAGTAGGGCGTCTAAAAGGTCGGTTACGGGAGTATGCTCTGTTTTCTGGGACGAAAAAAGAAAAGAAAAGAAAGGACGTTCAGGTATTTTAGCCGTTTAGTGACGATCTTTTAAGCTCTGCTGTTCCACTTCTCAAACGGCGGAAGCCCTTTTTCTCCGTGAAGTGGAACATTTTTGCTCTTCTCGTTTTGCTACCGCAGCACCAATAGAAGAACAGAGGGATGGGGTTTTATTTTCGATGTAGCTAGTCGAGGATGCAATTTTTCGATTGGCACGAAGACTGCTATTGAAATTTCGTCGATGAACATGGCAAATGTAGCATGAATCAAGTTAAAAAAAATATCTTCCCGCACTTCAACGCCCTCTCTCAGAAAAATAGGAACTGTGTCGCCTGAATAACCAACCGTACCGAGAGAAACCTCAAAGAACCTTGCATTACCTGACCTGAATTAATGTGAACTGATCGAACGTAAGAAGGACTCAGTAAAATTCAGGCAACATCTTCGTGATACTGTCCCAAAGAAAATCACGGAATCGAGGACTTCGAGCAATAAAATTCACGAAGTTTTGCTGTCCTAAAGATCAAAAAGTTTCATGAAAAACTTACCCAAACGTGTTATAAAATTTCTTGCCTCTTTCTCACGAGGATGGGAAGCATGGAACTCGAAAAAAGAAGCGAAATGCATTTGACATATTTTAGGTACATCATCTTTCTGATTGCATGTATGGTACGTTTATGGGAACAGTTCGTATACGCAGATGATGCTGTTCTACGTGTATTTCACAACTTACTTGGCACTTTTCGATGTTTCTGGAAGAAATCCGTTATTCAGAAGCATTATTGTTGATGAAGTACGTCGTTCAGATATCAAAGTTTACTTTGACTTTTCTCTTCGCGAAAAATACACTGTCATGACCTGACAAGCTTGGTTAAAAAGAGTTTTGTCATTACCTTTCCTCCCCCCGCCACCCAGAAGAAGTCGTTCAAATAGCCGATCCTCTCCTCCGCCTCGGATGACGGAAGACAAGATGATGAATTACGGCTACGGCTACGACCCCGAGGAACCGCCGCCGCCGCACATGGACATCCACTCGGCGCCTCCGCCACCGCTTCCTTCTGGCCACAATCCGTGGGGCCATCATTGGTCAGGCGATGGTGGCTACGATTGGCGCCGTGTGCCGCCGCCGGGCGTGTCTTCGCGGTCTCGCGACGAGTGGCGGACACCGCGTGGCGGCTTCAATGGGCCGCCGCCTATGCCGCCGGGTGTCGACGACGACGGGGACGCTGGCGTTAGGCTGGTAGATTACTGATTTCCCTGCTCGAGTCGTGTGTGGCAACGTGTGCAGCGAAGGAGATTTCGCTCGGAAATTTTGCTCCAAAATTCCCTCCCCATGATTGTCGCATATCAGTTTTGTACTTGAACTTGGCTCATTTAATCGAAGCTTCTTTTGAAAATAATTTTTTCCAGGTCAAAAAAGGCAGGAGATTATAATTTACCGGTAGGACGTAAGAAACCTTTCCTTTGAAACTTCGCTCAGTCCCGATTAAAGCTACAAGTGTTGATCCATTAATTTACGAGGGTTGTTCCATTTTCGCATAGGATCACATCCCTGAAAATTTTTCCAAAAAATTATACAGTGTCTGGATTCTTCCGAACAGTAAATGACCGATATATCTTTTGTGTTTCATTTCTCCGGCTTTGATAGATTAGCAGCAATTATTGCCAATAATGTTTTTCATGGGCATACATTTTCTGCGTTGGAAACCATGAGAGCTTAAATTGTTATTAAAATATATGTTGAACTTCGGCTGCTTTTCTTTTTCTTGGAACTCTGCGTCAACTCCAATTTTTAAAAATGTAAACCGCTTTATTTTTGTTTTATTTTATTTTATGGAAATTTCCCCGAAAAGTCGAGTGAGAGGAACGCAATGAAATTGCGTCTCAAATGAAAACTGCTGGAATTCAGAACGGCAACTTCCAGATACTGTATGTTCCTACGCCGGAATAGTATAACCCTTGGTTATCTCTATCGTGGCTCTCGTGGAATGAAGTGACCGTCATAAACAGTTTCCATGAACATGGATTGTGATACGCTGGAACGATTTGCTTAATTTTCCAATCACGCTGGACTCACTTTTAATAATTCAGTTGCGGATAGGTTCTTATGCACTGGATTCCTCGTGAGGATGAACCAGTGTTGATTCGTTTTTATTAATGGATGCATTTTCTCGGGTTTCTTCCTCTTCCGACGAAAAGAGGAAAAATATCCAGTAAATTCCTTCATTGCTTTCGATGAGTTTTTTTTCTATGGTTGTGTGAATCATTTGGAATTGGAGCGGTGCATGATTATTTTTCGTGTTCGCAGATGTCGTGATAGTGTCACCGCACCGCAGGTGGTCTTAAGAAAAATGCAAAGTGCTCAAGTGATATCGGCCCCTCCGGTGGGTTGTCCGAACCCGCGTTTTGTACAAGTACTGATCGACATGCGCGATGAAGAAAAGAGTCTTTCGTCCCGGAAGAGGCGAAGCATCATCAAGGTGAGGAAGTGAAGACTTCAAACAAATTCAAGAAATCAGTGAAAATTAAATCACAGGGTTTAGAAAAAACGATTTGTGTAATCGAATGCATTAGGTGTCTCATTAATTTTCACAATGACGTCATGCTTGATTTAAAAACATTATCCCGCAAATTCGACCAAGAGTGAGTGGTGCTGATCACTTTACTGTCAATTTGTTTGCCCTGAACGCTGTAACTTAATTTTGATTGGTTGTTTCGTGTTGCTTATTTTCTACGGGTTGATTTTTCAAAATTCATTTTCGAGTTTTGAGGTTGTGGCCCTTATCAGAACTGCATCACCCTTGCCGTTTCCTGCCGCGAGTCTGGCCACTGATATCTGAATTCATTTTATTATTTCAGGCGCTGGAATCTTTACTCCTCTACAAGCTACCTTTTCGTTCGCCGAATGAGTGTTTAATCTTGAACGGATTCCATGTTCAACTTATTGAAGCAATGCGAGTGAATTTGAGCAAAAAACCCGGTGAGTTTTTGTATGTTTTTCTTTTTTGAAGATTGAAGCAGTATGTAAACACGAAAATTGAAAGTGTTGATATTTTCAATGAAAAAGTTTGCTCGTCTGTTTTTACTCATTTGATGAGGCTCTTCGTATATTTCCATTAATTAAGATAATGGCACTTCATACTTGAAAGATTTTTTTTGAAGCCAGATATTTTTTGTGGTTGCTTTCTCGAAAGAACCATTTAGAGTCTAGCGTAGTGCTGTATGAAATACAGTATTGGTTCTTCTGTCTTCAAAGCTGTAACTTTCGGATCATAGGATAGATGTCGCTTTCTTTATCTGTCCTGACCACACCTTCATTAATCTACTATAACCCAGCCCACCACGAGCCAACCTGCAGTTCAAAACAGCAAAATCTTATCCAACTCCAAACCTATGCATGTGGAACAGGATTCAGGCGACATCTGTGTAATGATAGGTGAAATTACATTTCCGGGGACGCATTGTCAAGAAATGCATTTTGTAATTTGATGGGGAAAACAAAGAGGGCAACGCATTTTACTGAGATACGGTCTAAATTTCCGGATCAATCATAAATGAAATTGCATCTCGTGCGATCCCGCCGTAGAACTTTCAAAAATATATGCATGCTTACATTTTCTGGACAAATGTTGCTTTTGAATCATTCTTGTTACCTGATTTGATTTTTTTCCTTTGCAGTGGCGCCTCAAAATTTTGACAGTTCAACGAGTGAAGCACGACTTGCTTCAATATCAGAACCTCAGAACAGCGAATTTCAAATAAGCAACGGAATTTCGACCGATCGGGTTCCATCCTCTCAGCCAACTTGTTCATCTATTTCTTCTGTTTCGGCTGCTAATCGTGATGAAAGCAGTGAAATTGATAATCTGGGCTCCACAGCTTCTGGAGCTGTGGCTTCTCAACAGTCGAGTTCGACGACCAGTTTTCCCTCATCCAGCAAACCTTCAACCTCACGACTGTCATCTATTTATTCTGCCGATTTCACTTCGCTTTCAACGCCAGTACTCGGTGTTTCAAGTCCTGTTTCCGGCTCATCCAACGGTGAAATCAACAGGAAGTTTCCGTCAGTACCAGGTCCTTCGACCAGTGTTGAGCAGGCAAACCCTGAGCGTGAATCCAGTAGTTTTGCTACGAATGTGTCGAGAATTTTTGACTCAGTTCGTCAGTCGGATTTTTGGGATGTGAAAATGACTGAAAACTCTCGACCTTCTTCGTGGAAACGCAGTTTGAACACTACTTTCGAGCCTCAGCCACGTAAGAAACCTCGAACTGCGTCAGCTGGCAAGAAATCGGTGCCCAGTGCCAGGGGTCGGTGAGTTATTCGATGTTGTTTCTCAGTACAGTACCTGTAAAATTGAATCAGGATGTAGACGAAGACGTGTTGCTGAAATTTCGATGGAGGTTGAGCGTTTGTTTTCATCTCCAGAAATTAAATCCAACTCCTATCATTTCCAGGAAAAGGAACTCCGCGCCCCACAACATGGAGGATTTATCGTTACCTGGACCCTCCAGAGAGATCCCACCTGTTCCTGGAACTTCTGGTCTTTCCGGATCATCAGATCTGGACTTCGCAGTTCCTGGGCTTTCGACTAGTGAATTGATGGCGGAAGAAGTTGTCACAAGAAGCGACAATCCTTTTAATTATAACAATGAGAATCAAACGTTTCCGCCGAGGATAAGCTTGCTGAGAATTTTGGACAGTAACGGTAAGCATTGCAATTTTCTGGTTCCGCATAGAGTGAAAAAACTGAATTTCCGAGTTTTCTTCATTATTCTTATTACAGTATTTTCGCTCTGAAACTCACATCTATCATTCTCTCTCCATTGAATAGATGCCTGCATGTTTTGCTTTTTTTAGTCAACAATGTTCAGCAATTCTGATATCGAGGATAGCTTGCAGAATTTTCAGCTCGTCTCCGAAAAGGTCGTGGACTGATGCTTCGTAGGTACCAAAATTTGAAAATGAATCTATTGTTCAGGCAACATCTGCTAGATATCTGACAGAGCAAGGATATTTATTGAACAGAATAGCCTAGTCCTAGTGTATATACATCATTCATATGGGCGGTTAACTAGAGAAACGTATTTTTCGCATTCCCCGCCCAGAGGGAACAAGAATATTTTTATTGCCCTCAAGCTTTCCCTGAAAGTTATAAAAATACTTCACTGTAAAAAAAAATCCATGATGCCAGGCTCTAATTATGTGGGTTACCATTTTACTTTGAAGAATATTGAAACAATTGAATTCTCTTTTATTCAAGGTCCGACAAGAACTTTGGCTCTCATTGTTCTGGGTCAAAAGGAAGTCAGTGAGGAAAGTGGAATCTCTGGCTTTGGGGAGGTGAGAACCGCTTTGCGATTGCTGGTCAAAGCAGGGGTGATCGAAATCACTCCCGAAGATCTTTGCCTCCTCACTGAGAAGGGACGCGAAAGGATAAAAATTTTGAAGCTTTTGAATTATTCCGATGCTCTCGACTTCGATGCTGAAGAAGGTGAGGTTTCCGAATCGCCAGAAACTTCCAGTTTTCCTCCATGGATACGCTCATTACAAGTATTTCGTTTTCTTGCGTTAATTTGACTTCCCCTTTAAATTTTCTCTCGAGCCGTCTTCGAAAGTGGCAGAAATTGTCGCTGACGTGTTCGTCTTAAAAATTCTTGCTGTTTAATGCCAGTTTCCTTTTCCGCAGAGGCTTCTTGCTGTTTAATGCCAGTTTTCTTTTCCGCAGAGGCAAGTGATTTGAAAAGCGCAAATAACGCAGCTGGAGTCGTCGGTGATCTGCTGAGAGGAATCGCTTTTTGCTACATCGACTTTGATTTCAAATTGGTGACAGAGAAGGATAAAAGCTTGTGCGATTTTTCGACTGCAGCAGGATTTGGATTCGTAGCTTTTGTAACGAAATCTGATGGCGCGGTTTTGATGCGAAATCATCCCAACAAGTTTTGGCTTCCCTTTAGGTGAGTATTTCAAGAAATTCGTTTGTAGTTCAGAAGGACGCCATTTTTCTTCAAAAAAATAATTCTTTTACAACAACGAAGAGAGGAAACGAACTTTTCTGTCGCATGATTACCTGTTATCAAACTTGTTATTAGCTTAGCTTATGTTATATGTTGGTTTAAATTACTTTTTTTTTTATTTAAGTTAAGGCAAGGCAACGAGCTATTAAATCATTTTATTCAAGTAGATGTCGCCTGTGAGTGAATCCGTGTGTAAAGGATTCATGTGAGTTCATGAAACGATTAACTTTGCCAAAACCTGTTTTCACTCACATTAGTGGTAATGCGGAAAATTATTCTGGGTTGATTCGTATGTTGCAATTTGTAATGTTTATTTTTCTGAAAGTTCGCAGTCAATTCCGAAAGACTTCCTATGTCCGGATTCCCTGATGTTGCTAACATTATCGGACGATGAAGCGTCTGATTTTGCGCCTTTAACCGATGCAATTTACGAGGCTTTCGAGTTCTGCAATCTGGATCACGGGATTATTGCAAAAACTCATTCTTACAAACCGGGTAATGCTTGGAAACCTTGCGGCGCGATCGAAAACTTTGGTAACGATTGGGAGACCGACTCTGAGCCAGAAGTTGAAATTGCTCAGGCTACAGGTGAGATTTCAAAATTCAGGTTGTCTTTGAAAATTTGATTATCCTAATTTTGCTGATGATCAGTCTTCAATTATGCATGTATGGGCTAAAATACACTGGAACTCTGATTTCAGGATACGACAAGATGACCTACTCCGGACAATTGAATATCACGCATAATCGATAATAAGAGGAAATTAATTCAAAAGAAACAGTGTTGAGAAAAAATGACATATGGTTCTGATATTTCAACGGATCTTCAAGCTGGATAGTTGGTTTAATATCCGTCTTTTCTATCGCAGTGAATCAAGCCTATTAATCAGATGCCCTAATGATCTGAGTTCTCCTGTGATTACAACTTTCTTCAGGGAAGGAAGTTCATGAAATTCTCCGTTTATTTTCATTTTAGCATCGTCGTCAAATCCAGAACAAGCCACTGAGAGCAGTTCGACTCAGGTTGATCCAAATCCAACTTCAAGTGAAAATCTGGCAGACTTTGAAATTCCTCAGTCTTATTTTGGTTCGTTTGAATGCTTTGATGTTTTTTGACGAGCCAGAATAAGCGTTTTCTCGAATAATCAGGACGGTATTGTCACAAGTCGGAAGAGTTGCCCATCATATCGCATAATGTGTCTTTCTCCTAGTTATTTTTTCTATTTTAAATTCAAAGCTGAAGAGAAGCTTCGGTGCGTGATTTTGAAAGTTGGGAATTGTTGATTTAATGTAAATTGGCTGCTCCACAAATGTACAATTTGGAATGCTGGCCAAATTTTTTGTGCTGAGCTTGTGGACTCCACAAGTATATTGAAACTGAGAGTGACCGAGCTAAAATTTTCATGCTTATGATGGTGATTAAAGCTGGGAAAAGAACTTCTGATTATTTTCGTGTGTTCAAGAATGAATCGATATCGATTGTGGATTATGTGACTACATGTAAATGAATTTCTTTGAAACAAATTAATTGGAGTCGAATGCATTAAACAATGTAGCTTTTTTTTGTTGTTTACCAGATGGTGATCAAGATGCATTGGAGGAGAACCAGTTGGAAACTAGTCCCGGAAGTTCTGTTCATTCAATACCGAAATCGCCGGAACCAAGTGGAAGAGGTATTCATGCAGTGTCGCCGTCTCCTCCTCCGTCGCCGACGTACGACCCTTTTGATGCCTTGCTGAATAGTGTAAAGTAAGACTTTATTATTTGACTAGAGAAATTTCTGAGGATAATTAATCAATCATCCATTTATTTTGATTCGGGCAGTGGAGGCAACATGAATAGGTTCGTTAGTCATGGCTCCAGTGCGAGTGCGGAACGTTCTTCTTGCATTGAAACAAAGTGAGTCGCATTGGGTTTTTTTTAGNTCAAAAACTAATTTTCTTGCTCGTTTTCATTAGTTTCACTGATCCAGTGAGGGCATTTTCGCAAGAAATTTTCGTTGCAGACGATGAAATTGACGCACCCTCTGATAAATCCGACGAAGAGGATTTTATGTCATTCAGCGTCGAGAGTACTGGCGTGTCGATTGTGGTTGACTGGGCTGAAACTGTGAAAAAGTGAGCTTAGAACTTTCATATTTGTTTTCCACTGTGATGCACAGTATACATGTATTTATTTATTTTTTTGAAAACATTTCCTCAAGAATTACAGTTGCTGTAATTGAAAGTTTTTATGATGGATTGTATTTATATTGCTTGTCCGAATATTTTTTTTCCTTCAGGGAAGAAGTCTGCTCTTTCTTCCTGTTTCAAATCTTGAACTAAACATGCATGCTTTCGATAAAGAAACTTTCTAGAAACCTGTGTACTGTATCTTACCATTAGTTTTTCTCATTTTCTTTAATTTTATATGTTCTTCAATTATTTTTTTGGACTTCTGCATAAATTCGGGGAATGATGTGTGGTATTGCCTCGGTTAATGAACTTATCCTGTTCCAGTGTTTACTCCACAATAAGTCAATTGACTAAGTAACGCCTGGTTGATAATTTAAACGCCCAACATTTTTCTTGATTGAAAATTGTTAACGATGCATTGTATGGCCCTGCTTCAATCTGCTCCAGATCTCTAGAAAAAATTGTCTTCGCACACTTCAGAATGATTTTTTGAATTAAAATAGAATGTGATCAACGTATATCTTGAAATACAGTACTGTAGTAGCAAAAATACTTGAAAAACAAGGAAAACCATTCACGAAGCTTCTGGTTTTGTGTACTTTGTTCTCGCTGTTTTAATGAATTTCTTTCACTTTTCTTAGAACCAAAACGAATCCATTCGTGTCAAAGTTGGAATCCAAGGGCGCTTCTGTAGTGCGAAAACGGTTGAGTGTCGGAGATTATTTGTGGGTCGCGCACGGGAGCGACGGACCCGAAAGTGAACGTCTCCTGAGTCTTCCGTTGGTCGTAGAACGAAAACGATACGACGACCTTTGGTCAAGCATCAAGGACGGACGCTGGCGAGAACAAAAAAGAAGGCTGAAAAAGACTAATCTCAAAGTCATTTTACTCATCGAAGGTT